GTATGTATGTATGTATGTATCATGTGTATATATATACATATATCCCTACGGCACATGCTTTTGGGGGTGTTAGAGTATCATTACAGTACTGTGCCTGTGGTGGGCTAACGAAGGGTCTTCCTCAATCGTACTGGGAGGAATTGGGGAAATTAGCAATTGAGCAGGGTGACGCCTTTGCAGAAAGCTATATAGGCGCCTGAAGCAACACGTTACTCTTTACAGCTGACTACATATAATCATGTAGTTAGGGGCCCGTGCGTTCAGACGCCGACTGAAAATGATTGGACCTGAAGACAATGCTTGAGAGCTCACCTAGCATGTCTTAGCAAGTTCCCGATAATACACACACACAATATGTACATAAGCCGGTGTGTAAAGCCCTATCAGTTGCCAAGAACCTACATAATTAAATCGTACCGAAAACCTTTGCCCAATTTACAAACCGCTGTCGAAAAGCCCCATAAATCTGAACATGCTCGAAGGACCTGAGCCCCGTTTTCGGTGTAGGGCTTTGAGTGATGGTCCTCTCCATCGCGGCCGCTGGAGAGCGGGGGGAGCTGCGACCTGCGCTGTGCAGGCTTACTACAAGGGGTTCCTATAGGGGCTCCTTATAAGACCGTCATTAAAGTTCAGATTTGGGATCCTTGGTGAGGGATTCGGGAACAACTGCTGATGGCAGGGATGCAAGGCAGGCCCTGAAAACAACCCAAAGGCGGTCCGGCGGGCAGCTGGGCAAATGTACATGCACCAGTTTCGTTGAACGAGCAGGAGCATGCCAAAGAAAGTACCGCAAATCCGAATATGACAAACTACCCGCTGCCTCACTGCGTGGGGGATTTCAGCAAACTCTAAACCTTACACATACCCCAAACCCTGAAGAAATAATTATGTACCTAAGCGCCCTAATCATGACGTAGAAGAATAACACTCTTACAATCTCGTCGCCTGAGTAGACCTTACGGCTCGAACCTTGTATAGGAGTCTCGCGCATCTTGTGTCTCGCGTGCAATATACTGAAACGGCTTGTACGTGTTTGCGGCTTAGGTAGCTTTATTGTTGTCAGCTGCAGTGTGAAGGCTTTAGAGGGTTTCCAGGGAACCTCGAAGACAACTACTTGAGCCTGTGCAATTTCAAGTGGCCCAGTGCTGGCCTTTCTCCCGCTCCTCCGCTTCCGCGATGCATTGCAGCTGATGCTCAAGCTCCTGAGCCCCAGGATGCTCGGAACTGCGGCATTTTGAGAAAATCTGGAGCCCTAAACCATAAAACGCCAGCACCAACAAAAGAACAAAAAGTAGCACGCCCTGCATGGCTCTGAAGCACGAAAACACGCAACTTTAGGCTGGCGGCTTGCAGCTGATGTTCCACATCACCTGTAGCCGAAGCAGCTTGTAAAGTTTCGAGGTGCAAGGCCTACCCTAGACAACCCGCTTATTAGGGTTCCTTCAACTAAAACTCCGTTAGATGCGTCCTTTTCATGGTCCAGGTAAGCACAACGCTCATGCCTCCCGGGTTGGTCCGTTTACGACATCTCCATCCCACATGAAGTCAGCAAGTCCACATGAACCCGGGGAAGCCGGAAGCTCTTGGCACGAATCCCGTCCCCATCCTTGACCAAAGACAGTTAAGAGACCCAGAACGCTTCACTGCAAACGCTGATTGAATCTGGGACAGAAAGCTTTACGAAGAATGGTAGACCAGAAAAGTTAAAGGCTGGGTATGGAAGACCCCGCAACCCCAAAACCTTACAATAACCCCCCCAAACCGCAAAGCCTAATCCCAGGTTCGAGATCTGCAGCTTCAAGCGACACATGCCTGGGCAGGGCCGTGCCGATGACGTCTTGGCAGACGATTTGCTCCTGCAACTCGCTCTTGAGGGTCTCACCAAGAATTTAGGAGGGTTTTAACGGGAAAGAACATGGTAAGTGACAACGACTTCATAGGGGTGTTGTCCGCGGGTCCCGACTCGAGGATTCGCATCTCCAAGTACCGATTTCCTGGCTTCGTTTCGAGACTCCGGGTTCTTAAAGCCCCCCCAAAGCCCTTCTGAAGCTCAGCGACGGAGGCGAAGTAAGCCCTCCAACAGTTCCTGATTCTACTCCCTGCCTCTTGAGGGCCCCTGGTACCAGAGAGTCCAGAAAACTCCCAAGTTCTCCACCCCGAAGAACTTACATGTCTGTATTCTGTATGCATGCATGTGTGCACACATACATACATATGTATGTACATATATATATATATATATGTATACATGTTCATATACATATATATAAATATGAACATGTATACACATACATAAATGTGTTACAATTGCGGGCAAATGTAACATGTACGTATGTCTTGTGGCAATGCAGCACAGAGACCCTGTTGCAGTGATCGCGCGTTTTCAATTCGCAGCATCGGTTTCGAAGCAGCATTGTAAGGATCGTTAACGAAGGTTCACCCGGGACCGTGTCCGCAGGGTGAAAACTGGAAAAACGCCAGAGATCAGATGCTTTGCATCTTGGCGAGACGCAAAATTGTGAACAACTACTTACTACAGCTTTGTCTTGGGTTTGGAAGTCTGTAACTTAAGCTACTAGGACCCTATTATAGCTGCTACTACGCGAACCGCACTACACTCAAGATTCCTACAAACCCCGCTAGGTTCTCCAGTATCTCCGTTTTCAAAGGTTACCCTTGTTTCATAGTGTGGAGCTGCAACACGGATAGTCCAAGATGAATTGAATCAGAGCTCTCAGGGGTAATAGAGGTGCGATATACATTTGAATAAGGGAAGAGGGTTTTGGCGCTTAACATCGTATCATCAAGGAAGTCTAGGGCAGTGGTCCTAACTGTTGAGGCCTCTATGTTGCTACCAGAGAAGGGCGGAGAACCGGATAGCCTAAACACAGGTAGAACGATTGGTAATTTAAGCTTGTTACAACTCCTGCATAATGATACAGTCTGCCCCAAGAGTCCGGTCCACTCAACACTGCCTTTGCAGCAACCCCAAACCCTCTCTCTCAATACACTTTGTGACTTCAACTGTGGAAGACTGCTATAGAACTCGTCCCGGGCCCTTGAATGTAGGATCCCTGAAGGACCCTTGAACGCTAGACGACCTACTTAGAGGACACCCCTGAACCCCAAATGACACAACAACCTGAGTGGCTACCAATATTTTTGCCTAGGGCATTGAATCAGTTCTTAAGGGTTCAGAGGCTTCAGTGGTTTGGTGTTTGGGGTCGGAGGGTCGAGGCTCCCGCCCCAGACGTGCCCAGCGGCTGAGTATAGAACCAGGCAGCTACCCACATGGCGCCGAACAAACAAGAGCATGGAAAACCACCTTCCGAAAGGGAGAGGGGGCTACTTGCTTCAAGAGCCTGGGCCCTTCGACTGAGCCCGCAAAGCCCTGAACCCGTAAGCCCAAAACCCGAGACCATGTCTCACTTTCATCAAACCCCGTCAAGCCCCCCGCTAAAATACCTTAGACAAAGCGAGTCCAATCTCCCGCTGAACCCTGCGTGTCCAGTATCCTAGGGCAACGACAGGCGAACCTTTGGGATCATATAAGGGTTCTAATAGCCCAACAACCTACCGTACTACTTAGAAACCCAAACCCCTAAACCCTAGGCCCTAGACAAAGCGCGTTGAGTCTTCCCACGGAAGATGTGGCTGTTGCTCGAGACTTCCGAGTGTGGTGGCCTCAGGCCATCCTTGAGTGATCGTTTGGGGCTCTAGAGGGGCTTCATGTCAAAAGGGACCTAGAAAGGATGTCTTTATATATATATGTATATGTATATGTATATATATATATATGTATATGTATATGTATATGTATATGTATATGTATGTGTATATATATATATAGATTACTAAGATCTCTATATAGGTCCATAGGGATTCTATGAAGTGTGTTGGGGTTCGACTAGGACTGAGGAGTATTGGATGCTTGTTGGTATATGGTTGCATACAGTCGGAAACTGGAGAAAAGGAAATCTCACTGCCACATCCAAAACCCAACTAACTCCTGAACCCGAAATCCTAAACCCTAAACTGCAGCAACACAGCCAAGATGCCCTCACCGCTTGGATTCTTCTTCACTTTTCTCTTCACAAACTTCTTCCGCTTCTTCTTCGGCGGATCCAGGCCATCGTCGGCCGTTTGGGTCTGATCCTGATGGGCGCGCACATCTTGGACTTGCGAAGTCGGTACTTTTGCTTGCAAAGGGGTGTACATGTACACCTCTTGGTTCGGGTAGTTATCCTTATGCTTGATTATCTCTGTGTGTTTGTTTGTCCGTGTGTGTGTGTGTATTTGTTGTACACCGTTTATGTATGTACATGTACTACACACATGCAAACAAACAAACATACATACATACATACATAAACATACAAATATTCGTATACATGTGTGAAGTACGTAGATTTGTAGCGATTGCTAGCCTACTTTTGCACTTTTGCAGATTCTGCAACATCGTGATGCCTCGTCCCTTGGGCTCGGAATCGGGGCATCTCGCGAGCAAGCTGCACCTCCTTCTGACGCCTCCGCAAGGGCAGAAGGGCTCATAGCGATGTTCTCCACAATGCCCACATCTGCCCTCCCCCGCTGGACGTCGCGCTTTTCGTTGTTTCGGCTGAGCTCGTGGTCAGTACTTAGATCTTCTGGAGCCGTGCTGGACCAAAGATTGACTGCACCGGTCTCTGCGTCAAAGCCAAGCTCCAGCAGTGCATAGAGCAGTATGTTGAAAAGCAAAAGACCTGCGAGTCTCATGAAATTCATGATACATGATATAGACCTAAAGTTTTTGTGGCATGCCTGTAGCTGCTTACACTAGCTCTAAAAATAACTTCTAGCATGCTTCTTGCTTATGCGGCCCACCTGTGAGGCCCGCCACTTCTCTAATCGGCGCATAGCCGCACTTCGTCCTGGCGAAAGCCAGGGATAGGGCTGCACAGCCGGCAGTCTCGATCCAGCGAATCGGTAAGCATCGCATCGTTCCGTCATCTGGGGTATCTTTCAGTTCGAACTCTGGAATAAGTGCATCATCCTCGTGATCCCCACGTCGTGGGCTACCCTTCAAAATCTGGGCAATTGGGATTAAGTACACTCCAAAAACAGCTGCAAAAGCCAGCCGCATCCTGCTCGCGCTGTTGCCCTTCCGTGCAGCGTTGAGGCATGTGGCCAGCAAGCCAATGACCATGAGCGTCAATCCGAAAGGTCGGACCTCCGAGGAGAGCACCAAAGCAAAGCCTGCTGCTCTTAGGGCTTGGTCAGTAGTCAACCAGAGGAAGGCCAGGAAGCAGTAGATTGGTTGGGAGAGTGGACCCTGCTTGCGATCGTGAGAAAGGCATAACTTCACCACACCGTGGGCCAAAGAAATCGCGGAGACCGACACGGAGGCGATTCCGACAGGGTCCCCATGTCCACCGATAGAAAAGAGGATGTAAGACTGCAGGTACAGCTGCGGGGCGCTCTCCAGGAGCTTGTTATAAAGCTCTCGAAGCCTCATCGTCTCATACCGACCACTGCCGAGTTCCGGGATACCGAAGCAGAAGGCCATGGCACCATCCACCAGATAGTTCAGCTGCGCAAGAGACATCAGAAGACATGCCAGGAAATAGGTCAACTTTCCAGGGCAGGTCTGAACAGTAGTCACCCTCGATTCAAGAGACCGCTCGGCCCAGACCACGCTTTGAACCAAGTTGGATGTGAAGAGCAAGAAGAAGCCAAGTCCAAAATACCAGGCATGGACCTCGCAAGTGAACCCTAAACCCTAAACCCTAAACCGTGGCTCTGCAGAATATAAACCAATTCCAAAATACCAGGCAAGGACCTCGCAAGTAGGATTCCCAGCTGTATCTGATGGACAGCCGACGCTGAGGTTTCCAGGCAGGACACCTTGTCTTGGAGGCTTCTCCACCGCAGGTTGATGCATCACTCTATGTGTAACCCATGTTGTTTTCTGGACCAAGCGTACAGTCTCAAACCCCTGAATCCCAAATCTAAAACTCCCAAGTACCCTCAAATAGGGGTATATGGCCCCAAATTAAGGGTATTTAGGGTCTAATAGAGGGTAGATGGAGGGTCTAGGTCTAGGGGTGCTTCCAAGGCACAGCCATACTGCAGGACCACCCACAAATCTAGGAAGAAGTCGGCCCAGTTCAAGGCAGCGGTGAAGAGGAGGCCAAGAAAGAACTGGGTTCTCGCCGAAGGCACCGTGGAGACGAGGGCTTCAGCCATTTCTTCCGTTGCCACATAGCCCTACTGCCCCTGTAGACTTCAAACTCGATATAAACCCTGAGTGTCACGCTTTTCCTGCGGTGACCTCCGTAAACCCTAGACACATGGATCTCGACCGCCCTGAAAATGCAAAACAGGTGCCACTAAACATTACCGTTGGGCTCGATCTACCTCGGTCCAAACAGCCTTGAGCTTCATATCCCAGTCTGTCCATTTACAGCATTGTATATCACAGTACCTTATCGCAGTATATCTATGTGTATATATATATAACTGCTTTTCATAGTATACTCCTCTCTGTAACAAGGCCATAGGACAAGATGATTAGAGAGCAAGATCTGCTATGATCTAGATCTCTCCTTTTGGGGGTTTATCTTTCTCGGCAAAGAGTTGCATAAGCATCCTGCTCATCCCGGCCGTGGAGGAGCCACGACCTGCAGCACGAGCCCGAAGGGTGTTCAAAGATCAGGACGTTTACGCCTGAAATACAGGGTAGTATGATATTAGCTTTAATTTAGCTAAACAGTATTAGTCTTAGCCTTAATGTCCGTCATAGTAGCAGGAGTAGCAGCGGTAGAAGTAGTAGCAGTATTCAGGCGAAGGGTTGGCAGGACTAAAGGCGGAAGGTATATAGGAAAGCTTAGCGCTAGCTTCGGATTGAAGGTGGAACTCATGCACTTTGAGTTCGAAATGGTGCTTAAGCAGAGTCCCAGCCCCAAAACCCTCATACCGAATCGGAGAGGCTACATCGGATGACACTGTCCTGAATGGGCTCCTCAATTCTCCGTGCATTTCTGCTCGAGGAAAGCCGGATCAAGGCTTTTTGTGTTGAGTTTTTTGTGTCCCAGGGTTCTTCAATCAAGGGTTATTTCAATGGCCGTGGCCTTAGGGTGTCCTCGAGATGCATGAGGCCACACAAAAACGACCAAGCACATCTTATATATATATATATGTATGT